AGAGAGAGAGAGAGAGAGAGAGAGAGAGAGAGAGAGATAGAGAGAGAGTGGGGATCAGCCATTAGAGTTCGTGTCTAACAACCCCCGCTACTATATATTCCACTTGATGATCATCCCCGCGCGTTCTCGCAGACTCTCCCGAGCGCGCAACCAGAGTACATCACTGCACTGATTCAGGCAGTTTCTATTGAAGCACTGATCACCTAACCGCATCGTTGCCCTCTAGGGGGTGGGGGGCGATGCTTTTGCGTTCTGTGTTCTGATTGTCCGACTGCTATTCTCTACTCGGTTATCATTTATTTTGAAAGCGGGTAGTCTGTGTAGCGAACGCCGGTAAATGTCGGAGTGTCGCGTTAACAATGGGAGCACGAAGTGTGCGCGGCTTGTGTGGGTGTGTGTGTGTGTGGTGGGGGGGGGGGGGGCGTGAGCGTGCGTGCGTGCGTGTGTCCATGTGTGCGTGCGTAGGGCCTACGTGCGTGCGTGCGTGTTTGCCTCCGTGCGTGCGTGCGTGCGTGTTTGCCTCCGTGCGTGCGTGCGTGCGTGCGTGTGTCCGTGTGTGCGTGCGTACGTGCGTGCGTGCCTCCGTGTGTGCGTGCGTGCGTGCGTGCGTGTTTGCCTCCGTGCGTGCGTGCGTGTTTGCAGGGCGCGCGCCGATCGAATGTCGCATTAAGCGTTTTCAGCGTTTTCCTATCGTAATGCGTTCTCGTCCCCGCGTTTGACTCGCCGACGTATATTGTTTTACTTGGTAAAAGCCGCATCGTGACGTCACCGCGAGGCGCGGAGGCCACGCCCACCGATACGAGTGCGCTGCTCGCACCGACGAGCCCAGATTAGTTAGACGAGCGAAACAAAGGCCGTCAGCTGACGAAGCTGTCAGATCGAACGGCGATTGCGACAGACTAAAACAGACGGGGTATTATAGGTGGCGTACAACAGTAAGCCTCCGCAATTGTTCACCGTTGCACTATTTCGTCTCTAGAAAAGGCCTTTTTTGGCATTTTTTTCCGCTGAAATTCACTAGATTGCAATAATTTGCATTATGCACGCAAGTTAGATGCCTCGTGGACGGCAGCACCACGAGAATGCGTTCTATTTAGAAAGCATTAGAAGTAAAATTGGTCTTGTTGTGTACTCGTGACATTCCGTCAGGTGGCGTAGCCGCAGCGACCGGCTGGTTATTTTTTGT